CCGCTCACGTGCGATCCCTCGAATTTAGATTGCCTTCAGATACGCCCGGGTACTACGTACGGCCTCGCAAAAGTTTTGACGGGGAAAATTATTGTTTCGGAAACCACGAAAGCTGGGAAGCTAAAATATTATGGCAGTGTCGCCTACCCTCCCATGACCAGCAGATTTAAACTAAATCCCCCAGTGCTTCCGGATATCACGTATGGCCCCGTGGAATTTTTGGCGGGAAAAATTGTTATTTCGGGAGCGAAAAAAGCTGGAAGGCTAAGAATATCAGGAGAATGTTTTCTGCTTATGCAAGGGACTGCAAACTCAAAGTTCCCAAATACGTCGAGGCCTCATGCATAACCACGTGAAAGTTTAGGCGCGAAGATCACTCGGAAACCGGAAATTGAGAGGTTGAAATTTTATAACAATGTTCATCGTCCAAGGTTTCAAGTTCTGCTTTCATATACACTTGTGTTTCACGTACTGGCACGTGAAATTTTTAAAGGGGAATCTCGCAGCTTAGGAACTAAACAGCATATCGACTACTTTTTTGCAGGCCAAAGTGCAAAACAGTGAAAATCCTTAGGAGGCAAACGTCCACTGGTCGAAACTGCGCAAAACGTATGATCGCACCAGCTGCCGCGGTGCGCGCCGTTATTTATTTGTTAGTGACTGCAAAATCCACGCTGCTCACTGCAGCTGAAAAAAATTGCTACTAAAAATCGCTAACTGAGATGCCCCCTTAGCACCAAACAGAGGGAAAAACACACGTCCGCCCCCGCCCCCTGCCTTCTCGTCCTTTCCTGTTCAGAAGGTGCATTTCTAATACTGTACAATACTTGTTGAAGCTTTCATTCTGGCCGTTTCTGAAAGTTTCAGAGAAATTCAGGGGCCCAATACATGAGGACTTACATTTGCTTGCACAAAAGAACATTGGCGGCCGAATAACTTCGAGAGGAAAGCACCGTCCGATGAGGGCAAGTCCATGATGGCCACGTTGAATCCATGCCTGAGCAGGTGCTGCACAGTGCACTTGCCCAGACCCGACGCTCCACCCGTCACCAGTGCAACCGCCGCATCCTGCAACCCAAACCGATTACGCATAGAAATGCAGCTTCAGACAGTTCTCCCCCCAACAGGCACCGCGGGCAACTGCCCTGGAACGTGTAATGATGAAAATTTCAGCAAAAAAAAAAAAAAAAAAAAAAAAAAA